AGTAGTAGTAGTCGTCGTCGTCGTTGTCGTCGTAGTGGTAGTGGCAGTGGCAGTGGCAGTGGCAGTGGCAGTGGCAGTGGCAGTGGCAGTGGCAGTGGCAGTGGCAGTGGTAGTGGTAGTGGTAGCAGCAGCAGCAGCAGCAGCAGCAGCAGCAGCAGGAGTAGGAGTAGGAGTAGTGGTAGGAGTAGTAGTAGTAGTAGTAGTAGTAGTAGTAGTAGCAGTAGCAGTAGCAGTAGCAGTATCAGCAGCAGTAGCAGTAGCAGTAGCAGTAGCAGTGGCAGTAGCAGTGGCAGTAGGAGTAGTAGTAGTAGTAGTAGTAGTAGTAGTAGTAGCAGTAGCAGTTGGAGGGAAGGTATGTAGGTACGTAGGTAGGCAGGTAGGTAGGTAGGTAGGTAGGTAGGTAGGCAGGTGGAGGTAGGTAGGTGGGTAGGTAGATGCTCAGTAGGTAGGTGGTAGGTAGGTGGGTAGGTAGGCAGGCAGGGAGGGAGGTAGGTAGGTAGGTTGGTAGGTAGGTAGGTAGGTAGGTAGGTAGTTAGGTGGTGGGTGGTTGTACTGTAGGCAGTAGGTGGTAGGTAGTACTAGTATTAGTCCTCGTAGTTGTAGTTCCTCTAGTACTAGTAGTGGTGCTAGTACAGGTACTAGTGGGCTGCCACGTATGTGGCACGAACACCCACGCAGCCGGTTGCGACAAAGCTTTTTGTGATCAGAGTTCATCAAACAACCCAGAGTCTTTTATGCCCAGAAAGACATGCCCGAGTTCCATGCTCAAAATTACGATTCCGTTTTGTGAAAGCCCCTGAAATCCTCAACTGTGAACCCCCACACATTGAGAAGCCTCTGCACTCCTCCCACCATAGCCCTAAAAAGCCATCACAAAGTCCCTGCAAAGAAACCTCTTGGAATCGTAAAGGCTCTCGCTAAACCTTAAACCTCAAACCCTCAGAAATCCCCAGAACCCTGGGACCTCAAACCCTGCACCAAAGCTCTGAGAGGTGGAGGTCAAACTCTCGGACTTTGGCCACTCCAAGCTGGTGCGGGACGCCGCCCCAAGCTGTCGTTTGTATTTTAGTGCGTTAGGAGTGGCTATTTCAACGAATTTGGACCTGGGTCGGTTTGTCTCGTCTTGGGGAATGAGTGAGATTGACAGCAGTGTTGACTTTTTCAGGCCCCGGTGGGGGGGATTGACTGGTCCCAGCACTACTACGCTCACTGAGTCTCTATGCGATTCTGGGCGGGCTGACACAACGGCCTCAAGGGTTCTTTTCGGAGCCAGGGACGGGATTATTGTTATTGAGTTCCCGGGATCGAGTTTTGTCATTGAGGCGGGGTTGATAATCGAGTTCTGGGATCGAGTTTTATGATGGGGTTCATTAAAATGAGGTTAACATTAAGCAGTAGCGATAGCAGCAGCGGCAAGGATGGCTACACCTATGCGCGGTCGCACGTGGGCCGGGGAGCCAAGACGCATTGGGCTGTTTCACATCTTACAGCTTAGGGCTCCGGGTTCATGGGGTTTGCCCGAGGGTCCCACAGCCAGGGTTGAGGATCTAAACCCTAAACCCTAAACGCTAAACCCTAAACCCTAGAGTTTTGGGGAGGATGGGGCTTGGGCCACTGGCCAGTGGCTTGGATCCCTCATGCCCCTGCGGTCGGCTGCGTCCTGTGGCTGTGCAGAGCAGATACCCCGCCTGAGGTACGCCGCAGTACTTGGCGCCGGAGGTCCTAGCACCCAACTCAGTCACTCCAGATCCTCGGATGTTTATCGCAACTTCTTTGGTCTTGTTAGTAGTAGGTGCTAAGGAAGAACATACACCCTAAACCCCAGACCTTAAAACTGTCGGGTTCCAAACTATGAAGGTATGCTCGAGCAATGGGAGCTACGATGAGCGACTCGTCTGCACCGAACTGTTGGAGGGATTTAGCTGATGCTGGTGCATATGGAGGGTTCGGGGCGCTTGGGGGCAGATGGGTTGGAGGTCAGTATTTAATGGATTCTACTATCTACGGCCCAGACCTAGATCCTAAACCCTAATACCAGCAGCCCTCTAGATTTGCTCAATTTCTCTGCAAGGCGAGCTGATGTTTGGAGCTTGGGTGTGATACTCTTCGTCATGCTGACTGGCCATTACCCGTTCCGAAGCTCAGAGGACGTGGGCTTGGGTATTCAGGGGCGAGTCTCAACGGCGCCTCGCTGCAGCTTTGCGACAGCATCGCCTGCCCTCCTTCGCATGTTGCTGCAATATTGCGATTCTGACCATCATCATCGTTCCTCTTCTTGCGTTGTTGTTCTTGTTCTTCTTGTTGTCCTTGCTTTTCTTATTGTGGTGGTGGTGGTGGTGGTCGTCTTAGCAGTTGTGGGTGGTGGTGGTGACGACGGCAGTGGACGACGGCCTTCATTGCTCGTCCACCAAGAATCCGTCTTGATCCACTCTCCATGCAACACATGCATAGCAGCCACTCTGTCGGGTCGCACAACTCTAAGCCCCAAACGCTCCTAAACCCGAAACCTCAAGGCTGTCACCGAGGGTTGTTGCTATTATGTCATGCGCCCACTGTCTTGTCATACTTGTTTCGTGCTGCTTTCTGTGGGTAGCTTGCTGGCGCTGTGATTTTTGCTATCTAGCTGTTGCATTGGCATACTGACTCAGTATTTTGCGGTACTCTTAGAGTGCTCTTTTGTTTTCCCACACTACCATCTCAGCATGCAGCCGCTACATCAGCAGCTTGGGATATGCTAACGGAAACGCGATGCCCCAAAGCCAGACCCACACCCCTGCCGGGCAGGATCCCCTGTTCTGGGAAGGCACGGCGGCCTGTGGATCTCCGCATGAGCTCCAGGGTCGACACAGCGTCGTCTCCCTTCACTTGGGAGCCGAATGTCTGGGGTTTCGAAAATATAGGAGCACTCTTCTAGTAGCCAGGGGTTGGTTAGGAGACCAGCCGGGTTCCTTGTAACCTAGGACTTCGCAGCTTCAGCCTTAAGAAAGCACATCGAGAGTCGAAATGCGTGCGACACGGGCTGCGCGATCTGGGGCCTGTTTGTAACATGAATGGTTGCTGTTCGATGTATCCCGAAACCATGCTCCAACTTGTTCAGTCCCACCCCTTCACCACGAGACCACTGCAAACATCTCGTCGTTTGGATTTTCTGATCCTATAGACTCCAAAATTTCAAGAAGCTAGAAACCTCCAAGCCTCACGGCTTTCCGTTGAGGGTTTAGCTTTTCGGCTTTGGGCTTTTAGTGCAAGTTGCGGGCTTTAAACCCAAAGTATAAGAAATTCTCCGGCCCCCGGCCCAGAAACCATAGGCCCTGAAGCCTGCCCCCCTATGCAACTCAGGTTCTACGTCCTGCCCCGCAGACCCCACGTGACCCCAAACCCCGAATGCTCTCAACCTCAGACACCCTAACCTGCAGGCTAAGTCCTGCAAGCCCTGAAGCCGAAACTCTCAGGTTTAGGGCTCAGGTTTCGGCTCAGGGTTCACCTGCACTCACAGCAGCAAAGCCGCGAGGCCGACAAGCAAATATCTTCAAAACCCAAACCCTAAACTCCTAAACCCTCGCGCGACCGAAACCCTAAGCTCCCTAAACCTAAGGTCTTCCAAGCCGCGGCCCGAATGTCTAGTAACCCCAAGCCTGATACATGCCTTGAACTCCACATGCTAAAACCTCGAAGTCCTAGCTCCCTAAACCAGAAACCTCAGATCCCTAAAGCCCAGCCTGAATCCCCAAACCCTCAAACCCTAAATCCTCAAACCCTAAATCCTATCCTACGACCAGAAAGCTCAGATCCCTAAACCTAAACCCCTAACCCTAAACCATAAACTCCATACCCTAAATCTCTTGTTAACCCTAAACCCTAAATCCCTAAACCCTGAACCCCAAAACCTAAATCCCTGAGCCCTAGACCCTAAACCCTAAACCCTAAACCCTAAACCCTAAATCCTTGAGCCCTAAACCCTAAACCCTAAACCCTAAACCCTGAACCCCAAACCCTAAATCCCTGAGCCCTAAACCCTAAACCCTAAACCCTAAACCCTAAACCCAAGATTGGGTTGGCTGTCTACCCCCGCATAGCTGAGTTGCATACTTGCGATAGATGGGATGAGGAGGAGCTTAGCCAGGCTGAGGAATGGTTTTCCTCCTTGGGATCAAGCATTCATGCTAAGCTTCTTAGCTGTCCCAGAGCGGCCTTGGATGCTCAGAGCTCAGACGCCAGGCTCGTTGAGATCATTCCGCAGTCTTTTTGCACTCACGCTGAAGAGATCATTGGCTCTGCAGTTCAGGGAGATGTCTCACCGGTGCTTGCCAACGTAATGAAAGCGTCTAAGGAATTTCACGCGGCGATGGCCAAGGGAAATGTGGCGTTGGAAGGCCAGGTCAGGATTTTCCACCAATTCCATGGGCTCAGGAAGGATCCAAGAGTTGAGGCAGTGAGAGCAAGGTTCATGGATTTCAATGACACAAGTGTTTTCAACAAAACCCAATCTTCCGGAGCCGCACTAGTGTACCTGCTCAATTGCATGTCTTCCACGATGTCCACTTATCCCTTTCTTGACACTGAGTGGGCGGATCGCTCTTTGCAATTGGCCATTTTGACCATGGCCTTGACCAATCCTCCAGAGTTCTCTGAAGCTGACCCAGAACCATCATTCAGATCCGCGAATGATTCTTTTGATAGAGGGTCAACTGAATGGGTTGAGGCTTTAGCTGAGGCCCATGCTGGAAGGTATGCAGCTGAGGCTGGTGGTGACGACAATGGCCTGCTTGCGAAGTATGACGCATCATCTGGTTGCTTTTCTGAACTGCCTCCGAAATGGCTCATTTTAGCATGCGGATGCTTTTTCGGGGCCTTATTGGGTGATTGCGACATTGGGACCGTTGGAACTACTCCTCATCATCAGTCAGTGCCGGCACTGGTTCAGCGAATTGATGGACTCATTGTGCCAGTGCTGCAAAAACCTGCCACGGCCCATTTGGAGAAATTTATCTTCCCCGATCGTGAGAAGGCATCATTTCAACTTGAGTGGCTCAGACCGTACAGGTATTTCTCTTCCATAGTGAATGGCTACCCTGATCAGGAAGTGTTGCACACTCTCATCAATCTGGTGGTTGGAGGCTTTCGCCAGATGCGCAAGCGACCCCAAGATGAAGTTTTAAATCTGGAGATTCTGCTTCCTGATGTAGTCAGTGTGCTTCCTATGCCTGTGGCCACGTTTGCACAATTGCCCAGGATTTGCCACAGACTTTACGGCATGCTTCGAGCTGATCCAGCTTTTGAGGAGGCCTTTGTGGAATTCACCTTGGATCCTGCGGATGAGTCGGTGAAGCAAGCTGTTGTGGGCACGCAACTGCCCTTTGAGGGAGTCAGTGATCATCGAGGAGTGCCTGAGCCAGTTGACGAGCCTCCTCCCAGGATCACTATTCTTTGGGTAGCATCTTTTCAGCCAGACTGCGCTGAGCTTTTTAGGTCTTTGACAGGGACTTCTCCAGCTAGGTCCACTGATTCAGTTGCTGCAGATTTGAAGGGATACTTCATGCTTCAATGGGTGCCTCCTCAGTCCATCGCTACCGAAGTTAGCTCCGTCAGGGCCTCTATGAGGGAGCCAATTGTGGTGGCCAACCATGTGCAGATTCAACCTGTAGTTGAGCCTCAAGCCATGACTCTTCCGTTGGCGCACGTCAAGGGAGACGTGCTTCGAGAACTGGAGGCTCAGTGGAAGGATTCTGTAGATGCTGGTCCAACGCGCATTCCTGTCGCGGGTAAACTTTTTGTCGGCAAGAAAGGGCCTCCCAGCTATTTGGTTTTCACCAGTCAGAAGCTCCAGGCCCCGAGCATCGTGAAAGTAGTCGACGGGTTTGTCCATGGCCCTCCCAATGCTATGGTGTATCCTGATTTGCCCAGGATTCAAATGGAGAGGGCTTTGAAGGCTATATCCCATTTGCTCACTGGCTCCGGTCGAGCCCTGCTCAACTCCAGATTGTCCAGAGCTGCATTATTCCATTTCGCTTCAGCACCGGAGCTTGGCGGCCCTTCTCCCTTGGCTTTCAGTCAGGATCTGCTTGAAGCACTGAGCGGCAACGAGAGACAAGCTTCCTTCTTGAGGATGGCTTGTCAGTCCAACCATTTCTCTCTCTGTCAAGCTGGTCCAGGCACTGGCAAGACTCAATTGCTGACGATCATAGCTATAGCTTTGGCCAGGAAAGGCCACAGAGTAATGCTGACAGCACCGTCATGGGCCGCCGTGGACGTGTTGGCGCGCAGATTGCAGCGATTGCTATCTCAGCTACGGGACAACATCACCATGAGGGTCTTCACGGAGGATGGAGAAATTGTTGGAGATCCGCTCGCATCACCGTCATCACTTCTGGCTCAGGAGTGAACCCGGCGAAAGCCCCCGGCAAGTATGACGCTCTACTTGTTGACGAGGCTGCTGCCGAGCCTGTATGGCAAGTTCTGGACAGAGACCGAGTGACCATGATGCTGGGACTGGTGAGAATGACGAACCGCATCTTGGAAGTTGTGGGTAACCTGGTCCAACTCGCGGCGGAAGGGGAAAGAGATGGCCCGGATGTGGTGGTGGAGGTTGAGCCCGAGGACACGAACGCTCTTATGCAGACCGGGATGGTTAAAACTGAGGCCAACCCTATGGCCAGCGCGGACCACGACTGGTACCAGCTTCTGCAGAGATTGTGGTTGGCCTTTGACGGCATGACGCCAGAGGCGAGGCATGCAAACGCTTTGCTGCTGCTGCGCCTCACGGACTGGCGCTGCACAAACCAGAACCAGGGCCTTCTCCTGGGACACATGCGAGGGCGGACGGCTGACTTGGTGGCGGTTCTGACCACGGCCTTCGAGGATCACAAGCTCCCCGTGGACGACATTCAACCGTGCAGGCGATGGGTTATGCAACAATGGGAAGAACTTCTACACTATGTCCCGGAGGGTCGCTCTTCGAGATCGGCTAAGCCAAGCGACAGCACATGAGGCCCGGACCTCCCCAGGGTATGCTGTTCATGCGGCAAGTCCCTGTGGATACCCCGCCGATTTCACCGAGGTCTGAGGAAGAGCCGACAACCATGGTCCCAAACCTCACTGCTACAACGGAAGGGCAGACAAGCGCCATTGGTGCTCCGGAAGGCCTGCTCCCGGACGCACTCCATGGTGACATGCCAGCGGCGGCTGCGGGATGAATACTTGGACGGCCTCGTTCACGAGCACATTCAGGAGTCTCGTGACAAGGAAGCCGGTGCATACCAAGCATGGGAAGACTGGGTTGTGGCTGACGCCATGGCTCGGTCCAAGGCTTACCACCGCAAGCGGCAGTTCCTGGACTTGGAAATTAGCACAGGCAGCAGTCAGCCCATTCAACGCGTCCGAGTTCCTTGGTCCCCGCAGGGCTGTACTGTTCGTATGCAAGTTTCCTCCGAGGATGCTGGGGACAGTGAGGCCGAAACGGTGCCGGTTGTGAATCCAACGCCTGCGGTGGAGTACTCCGACCTCAGCGCCCAGGACTTTGAGAAACTGGCAGCATCCTACCGTGAGGGGACCTTGGACCTATGCATGGCTGAACGCTGCTATGGACGTGAAGTGGTGGACATGCTACAGACCCAATGGGCTTTGGAGGCCACCGCATCACCGGCTGGGACGTCGCAGCCACTGTCGGTGGAAGTCTGCACGACAGTGCTACAGCAATGGGGTGCAGGGGAGCTGACGGATTCGGTTGTCCTGGCGGAGTATGGCTCGGAGATGCATGAGATTTGTCAGGCGGTCGATGAGCTTGAAGCAGCAGGGGTCTGGGGTCCTGAGTCATTGGGTTCGAGCCATGTGGGGTCCGTGGATGTGGCATCTCCTCAAGGTGTGTCGGTCGAGGCCAGTGCACAGCCTGCAACAGCGGTGAATGGAACGGATGATCGGTCAGATGTGTCGGTGTGTGGAGATCATGAGGAGTGAGTGTCTTTTCGCTGTGGGTCGACAAGTGGCCTGCAGTCCTGGCTGTACAAGCCTTTCGGGACCTTCGGGCTTCGGAAAAAGGAGTTCAAAAAAAAAACCCCTAAACCCTAAACCCTAAATCCCTGAGCCCTAAACCCTAAACCCTAAACCCTGAACCCCGAACCCTAAATCCCTGAGCCCTAAACCCTAAACCCTAAACCCTAATCCCTGAGCCCTAAACCCCAAACCCTAAATCCCTGAGCCCTAAACCCTAAACCCTAAACCCTAAACCCTAAACCCTAATCCCTGAGCCCTAAACTCCAAACCCTAAATCCCTGAGCCTTGAAGTCTCAAGAAGTTGCAGGCCGCTTTTCCTTCCGCGGCAGCGGTCGCGCAGAGGAGCTCCTGCGAGGGCTGATCAAGAAGAGGCCCCTGAGGGTTTGGCGGTTTAGGGTTTAGGGTTTAGGGTTTAGGGTTTTAGGATTCGAGAGTTTCTTTTGCTGGCTGGCTGGGCCGAGTCAGCAGGACACTCGAGTCCTTAGACCACAGGCTGAAGCGGTCCGTCGACCGAGGTTTCTTGATTTGTGCCCCGTGCTGCCGAAGTCTGCAGAGCCTAGGGGTAGCGTTTCGCAGGCCAACGCAGCCGGTAAGGGGGATCTGGGAAGAAGTGCTTGTATGGCAAAAGGCCCCCATGTTTTGTTCGTACTTGAGCTGCTAGTTCTGCTCCCCTAAGCTCTAAATCCCTAAGCCCTAAACCCTAACCCCTGAACCACCCTAAACTGTAAACCCTTAGGGTGTGTGGTGGGGCCCAGGGCTCGGGTTTAGTGGCTGGCATCTAGGATTTAGGGTTCTCGGGGGTTGTGGCTGAGTGCTTCGGATTTGGGGTTTGGGGTGTAGTCCTAAATCCCTAATCCTCCTGAACCCCTAAACCCCTAAACCCTAGACCACCTGAACCGCCTAAACCCCCAAACCCCGAAACCGCTAAACTACACCCCTAAACCCTTAAACTAAATCCTAAAGCCCGTAAGAGCCCAAGAGGCCCCGAAGCCGAAGCCCAAGAGGCCGGAGGAGAGGCTCTCTTTGGAGCAGTGCCTGAAGAGTGCCTGGGTCAAGAGCCCAGCTTCTCCGGAGTCGGGCTCTGACGGTTTAGGGCGAATTTTTAGGCCTCCCTCTTTTGGGTATGATATTCTTAGAAGTTCCTCCTTAGGGTGCCCTGAGGTCCTCGACAACAGCCGCAAGGCCCCTCCGTCGCCGCAGCGGCCGGTCACGAAGAGCCTGCAAGAGCTGCGCATTCGGCGCCTTGACTTTGACCCTGTTCTGAATGCCGGAAGAGCAATGATGAGTAGGAGCAGGAGTAGGAGTAGGGGGGTACGGGTAGGTGTACGGGTAGGGGTAGGGGTGGGAGATAGCAGTAGCAGCAGTATCAGGCGTAGTACTGATGCGATGCTCGCTGCATCGCTAGCTGTCAGGCTTCCGCAGGCACCCAAGAACGTCTCCAAGTTCAAGACCGAGTTGGATAGCTTCTCACTGAAGCACGGCACCCAGCAATAGCTGAGCTGAGTGGAAGGCCGACGCAGGCTCCCTCTCTCTCTGTCTCCTCTTTCTCCCTCTCGCTCTGTGCAGATGTATATGATAGCCAAGCAAAAGGTGTGTGTGTGTACGTACACACACACACACACACACCCGAACACATTATGCATGACCCTATGATCCTGCGCGACAATTTTTCCGACATAGTCGTTCATGAAAACAGAAATCCGAACATGTATACAGCCCCAAGTCACCCCCAAGTTTTTTGAAACCCCATTTCTCACCGAGGCACAAGGTTTCAGCATCCCTTCAAATCCTGGAGGCACTGTGACCTTACCTGCCAGACAGGCTTGAGGAAAGATGTTCAGGCTTTGGAGTTTGGGTTCTGCAAGAGGGCCTAAAAGGCAGAAAGACGGGCCCCTGCAAGGTTGGGGGACCAAATCCCGAACCGCTGAACCATAATATAGAAGCCTAGATAATTGCCTATACTATTTTGGGGGTTCCTTGTTACACAATTTAGTATAATATACCCCAAAACCATCCAAAACCTATTATAAGGGCCGTACATTACCCTGAACCGTAACTCCAAGCCATTCCCACACCTTCAGCTTGAAGCCTGGGTGTGAATGCTGAACTTAGAAACCTCCCAAGCTTCCAACTAAGCTACAAGCCCCTGCGTTCTCCCAACTTTTCCGCGCTCAGCCTGAACTCTTCAGCCAAAGAGCTCCTCACCCGACGTGCTCAACCCGGAACCCTTCAAAACCATAAGGTTTCTATAAGGTTACTGAAGGTCTTCATATGGCGACGAAGAGGGCCGGCTTAAGCTTTCTGTAGGGTTATAGAAGGTCTTCATACGGCGACGAAGAGGGTACTGTCCGGCTTAAGGTTTCTATAAGGTTACTGAAGGTCTCCATATGGCGACGAAGAGGGTGCTGTCTGGCTTAAGGTCTCTATAAGGTTGCTGAAGGTCTTTATATGGCGACGAAAAGGTTGCTATAACTCCACAACTTCTAGCTGCGAACCCTTGAACCCCGAACCTGAACTCGACGCCCCGCAGCAGGTTGTTGTTGCCTTCTGTGCCGAAGAGCCGGACAGCCCCCTAGATGCTGTCTGGCCCATCACTCAGATTTCGGGTCCAGACACAGCAGTTTTCATGCGGTTGTGAAGGGTGACATATGACGGCCAAGAATCAACAGACAGAGCAGGGTGTTGAAGCACATTATGCTACAAGTGCAGTGAATCTAATTTATTGGTCCCAAAACCCCAAACCCCCGCACCCCAAACCCCAAGTGCCCCAGCTGTCCTGGCTGTCAAAGCCTCTCCAGTCCTTCGGGCCCCGCAGAACAGGAGTTCAACACAAAAACGAACCCCAAACCTTCTAGGCAGAACATACGCGGATAGGCCTTACACACTAAATCCCAAACCCTTAGCCGAAAAAGAGTCCTAGGTCCCGTTCTTCGAAGTTGATGTATGCATTTGACATAGAGTGTATACTATAGAGTAAGTCCCGTTCTATGCCATACTCTACTCTACTCGATTCTACTGTACTACACTTTGCTGTACAGTGCTATACTATACTAAGCGATACTATACTTTGCTATACGATATGTACAATACTATAATAGTATACGACAGTCATACTATACTGTACTGTACTATCTACTGCATTTATACTGTATTATACTATATCATAAGATATTATACTCTTTTATGCTGTAGTATACTAGGTTATGCTTTATTATTCTATATTATACTATAGTATACTTTATGATACTTTATTATACTATATTATACTATATTATACTATACTATACTATATTATATTATACTGTACTATACTATTTAATACCATGGCTAAGGTCCGAGCTATGGGAAGTTCTCCGGCAAAGCTGTCCGGAGCTGCGCTTCGGCTCGAAGGGCGAGCTTTGGGGGTCGGGGTTCCAGGGTTTAGGGTTTAGGAGGGGTATAGGGTTTGGGGTTTGGGTTCTAGGGTTTAGGGTTTAGGGTTTAGGGTTCTAGGGTTTAGGGTTCAGGGTTTAGGGTTTAGGGCTATAGGGTTATACGGTTATAGGTCGGGTTCTAGGGTTCTAGGGTTTAGGGTTGAGGGCCATAGGGGTTATGGGGTTATAGGGTTCTAGGGATTCTAGGGCTCCAGGGTTCTAGAGTTCTGGGGGATGAGGGTTCAGGGTTTATGGGTTATAGGTTTTACGGTTGAGGGTGAAGGAGCAGTGTCTAAGGGTTATGGCGTTTAGGCTTCAAAATTATTTATCGGGTTGCGGGTTTAGGGGTCAAAGGGTTTTGGTGTGCTGATGGTGTTTAGGGTTGAGGGGTTACGGGCTTAGGGATTAGGAGTGAGGGTCGAGGGTTTATGGGGCTATTTGTCGTCTCGGGCGAAGCGGACCTTTGGGCTTCCCACCGGCTTTGGTGACCGTTTGTGGTGAAACAACGCCACGTGTTTGTGCAGGGGCTTACTCAGACAAGTCCCGTGTCTTTTGGTGGAGCCATTGACAGCGCTTAACAACCTACATCTAGAAGCCGGTCACGGTGCGCAGTATGTCGGTTGCCGTGAAAGTTGGACTTCTCAGTGGCAAGGCGACAACTTTGACAGCAGAACGGGATGAACAGGTGGAGGCATTGAAACTTCTCGTGCAGATCGCACTTGGAGTCGGAAGAGGACTCATCCGAAAGTTTGCTGGATGCACGCGCAACGACAGGGGAGGCTAGTTAAGCTTTCGAGCGGCGACTCCTTGACCTTGCACACAAAGCAATTTCGAGTTCGAGGCTCGGGACGTGCATTTGCGTCCTTTCTTGGCAACGGTTGATTCGTGGTCTGGGGTGCAGTGCCGTTCAGGGTCCGCCGGGGAATGGGCACGCGATGCTCCTGACAACGGATCGGTCGTGGCCTGGGGTGATTCTCGCTGTGGTGGTGACTGTAAGTCCTGCCCAGTTCTGCACCTAGGTCGCCCTGCGTATCACCACCCATCAATCGGTGAATAACACAGAGACAGACAGACAGACAGACCGCCGACCGACCGACCAAACCGATCGACCGACCGACAGACAGACACACAGACAGGCAGATTGACACATCTGCATCTGGTGACGGATTTTTCGACCTCAAGCCCGCACGCTTGTAGGATTGAAGCACTCGCGGGCGGCCGTAGCATAACTAGGGCACAGAGCAGAGTCTTGAGTGGCAAGCTAAATGGAGAGCTCGGGCTCGTAACTCCTACCTGGCTCCTTCAGTCCTGTGCTAAACCCTAAAAACCTTAATTAAATCGCAATCTCAAATCTTAAACCTGAATTGGGCCAGGCATTCCGACAATTGACCTAAACCTAAGCTCTTGAGGAAGTGGTCACGGTCGCTTTTCCCGGAGTGCAAGTCGTGGTCTCTGGATGGCCCTGCCGATCCCATGCTGGAAGAGGAGCGGTGGCGTTGCTCCGACAATAGCAAAACAGATGTCATAGCACCAGCAGTCTGAAGAGCAACAAAGGACAAGCAAATGTTCTAGTGGCTCTCATCATAGCAATGCCAATATCAGCATAATCAAGTTAGTAACTCGTCATTGTCATCATAATATTCAGTTACAACCAGAAAAGCCGAAGGATCTGTAAGCAGCTTCAACTAAGTACTTCAGATCAGCTTCTGTTGCTGACGGTAGGTACATTCAAACTCACTACCTCACGACAGGTGTTATTATTATTACTACTATTATTGTTATTATTATTGGCATTCTCGTGTTGCCATGTTTGACGTAGTGTTTTGCGAGTACTCTAGTGCTGTCGTATTCAAGCATAACTAGTATTGTAGCAATAAAGTACTATTCTTATCATTGCTCTTCTCTTCATTGTTCTTCTTAATAGCAGTGCTGCTGCTGCTGCTGCTACTACTACTACTACTACTACTACGACAACAACTACTACTCCTGCTCATCCTCCTACTCCTGCTCCTACTCCTACTCCTACTCCTACTCCTACTCCTACTCCTACTCCTACTCCTACTCCCACTCCTACTACTACTACTACTACTACTACTCCTACTCCTACTGCTACTGCTACTGCTACTGCT